TTGTGTTTAGTGTGTTTTCAGTCATTGTGTTTAGTGTGTTTTCAGTCATTGTGTTTAGTGTGTTTTCAGTCATTGTGTTTAGTGTGTTTTCAGTCATTGTGTTTAGTGTGTTTTCAGTCATTGTGTTTAGTGTGTTTTCAGTCATTGTGTTTAGTGTGTTCCTACCTCGGTGATGCCTGGTGTGATGGTTGGCGCAGCAATAAAAATGACATATGGGACAAACTCTGCTGTCCGCAGGACCTTCAGGGCCTAAAAAGACCTCATATTAAAGATAAGAAGAGCCTTAAAAACAAAGCACACCCTCTCTGTCACACCAACCTGAGGTTCTACATCGAGTATAGCAACCAGACCCTGCTGGTGGATCTTCCTTATGGTCTCCAACCGTGTCCCATACATGGCGTCCTCATGACTGCCGTACTCCAGGTACTCATTGTTACTGATGTCCTGCATCATCTGCTCATGAGAAACAAAGTAGTAGTTCTTCCAGTTCTCCTCGTCCTTCTTTGGAGGTCTGGTTGTGTCTGCCACACAGGTACACACACAGACACACAAAGGAAATGAGGTTTTAATCTTTGTGACGTGTGCAGCACTGCTGTGGGAAATGTGCGTGCGTCTTACGAGGGATGGGGTAGGCGAATCTGTCAGGGTGTTTGGTTATGAGCGTGTTCTTGATGTGTCTCCTGCCCACTCCATGAGCACCTGACACAAACAAAGAGTTAGTGGAGTCAGACATGGATTGTGTGTCTGCTACACTCACCGTGACTCACCTAACAAAACCAGTGTTTTCCTCCTGAAGGCAGGAAGCTTCACCACCTCCTCGTAGGTGACCAGATCTAGTTGATCAAACACTGAAGGTGGAGGAGGAAGTGAACGAGTTAGGAGGATGAGGAGTGAAGTGGTGGGAACAAACACACACCAGGTAGGTAAAGCATGTGATGGAATGAGTTACAGCCAAATCAGATTTCAGCAGCTTCATCATGTAACCATAGTTTTCTGGTATAAAATGGTAAATGGACTGTACTTATACACCGCCTTTCTATCCATGCAGGACACTCAAAGCTCTTCACACTGCAGACATTCACACATGCACACACACATTCACCCATGCACACACACATTCACCNCTTTTTGTCTCAGGTGTGTTCAGTTCTGTGATTAGTGTTGCTTCCATTTCCTCAGGTGTTTTCTGTTAACTCATTAGTTGTCCTGTGTATTTAAGTGCTGTCTTGTCTCTGTGTCAGTGTGCAATCATTGTGCTGTTAAGCGTATCTCGTTCTTCATGTTCCATGTTCCAAGAGTTTTTTCGCTACGTCTCTCAAGTGAGTTTTTTCAGCTGCCTCGTCAACATTTTGATTTGTAAATAAACTTTATTTTTTGTTACATTTGAAATCTGCCTGTGCCCTGGGTCATTCTATGTCTGAACCTGACAGAATGATCGCACCAAGTACCCAGCCCACAGGCAGTTTTTTCAATGATTATGATTATGGGGRGATTTCGAGGATCCTTCAGCAGCTGCAGAGAGCGCGAGGAGATGATCGCTCGTCTCTCCCTGTCGAGAGCAGCATCGCCTGGGGATCCTGTTGCCCACCCTCCCTCCCCTCCTGTTTGGTCTACTGCTGGTTCGGCTGCGGAGTCACCTAAGTCACCCGAATCTACTGGGGTACCTGAATCTGTTCCGGTGGTTCCACAGTCGGTGGTTCCACAATTGGAGGTCCCAGTGGTTCCACAGTCGGTGGTTCCGCAATTGGAGCTCCTGGTGGTTCCACAGTCGGTGGTTCCACAATTGGAGCTCCCGGTGGTTCCACAATTGGAGCTTCCGGTGGTTCCACAGTCGGTGGTTCCACAGTTGGAGGTCCTGGTGGTTCCACAGTCGGTGGTTCCACAGTTGGAGGTCTTGGATCCACAGTCGGTGGTTCCACAGTGGGTGGTCCCGATGTCTCCGGTGTTGGCGAGCCCCAAGTCGGCGGTCTCTGAGGGCCGTGAGGCGGCTGCCGGCGCCTCCACGACATCTGGGTCGGCTGCCGTTGCTTCCACGTCGGCCGCCGGTCTCCTCCATGTCGCCTGGGTCGGCCGCCGTCTCCTCCATGTCGCCTGGGTCGGCCGCCGTCTCCTCCATGTCGCCTGGGTCGGCCGCCGTCTCCTCCATGTCGCCTGGGTCGGCCGCCGTCTCCTCCATGTCGCCTGGGTCGGCCGCCGTCTCCTCCATGTCGCCTGGGTCGGCCGCCGTCTCCTCCATGTCGCCTGGGTCGGCCGCCGTCTCCTCCATGTCGCCTGGGTCGGCCGCCGTCTCCTCCATGTCGCCTGGGTCGGCCACCGTCTCCTCCATGTCGCCTGGGTCGGCCGCCGTCTCCTCCATGTCG